TTCAACTGGATTATCTCAGAATAACTCATAATTAACAGTTTTAAAAATATTTTTATTTAATAACAAATGTAAGACCTGATTTTATTTTTAAAATGCAAAAATGTGGAAGCATATAATATAAAAGAGTAGAATTTTTCTTCATTCTTTCCCTAATTTCACTTCTCTCCTCAAAGGTACTCACTAGATAGACTTTTTTTTTTTTCTTTCTGGAGCTTTTAAATTTGCGTTTTGCATCCTCTCTCTCTCTCTCTCTCTCTCTCTCTCTCTCTCTCTCTCTCTCTGTGTGTGTGTGTGTGTTTGTATGTGTGTGTGTGTGTGTGTGTGTGTGTGCTGTTAGAAATATTTACTGTTAACTGGATATCCATGTGCTCTTCCCAATTCCAGTTTCCTTGTAGCTCATATTGGCCTTGAGACTAGCTTAGGCCCATATACTATAAACAGAATTGAGACCAAGCACAGTGGCTCATGCTAGTAATCCCATCACTTTGGGAAGCTGAGGCAGGAGGATTGCTTGAGGCCAGGAGGTCAAAATCAGCCTGGGTAACATAGTAAGACCCTCTCTCTACCAAAAATATTTTTAAATTAGTTGAGTGTGGTGGCATGCACCTGTAGTCATAGCTACCTGGGAGGCTGAGGTGGGAGGATTGTTTGAGCCCAGGAGTTCAAGGTTACAACGAGCAATGATTACACAATTGTACTCCAGCCTAGGCAACAGAGTGAGACCCTGTTTCAAAGAAGAAGTAATATTTGTCATTGCTGGGCTGATGCATAATGGTAATAATGAGTTTTCTTCCTTTCTTGCAAAGACTGAGGAGGCTCCATCTTCTAAATGTTACATATACAATACGATGGAAGCCTGGGTCCCTGAATGACTATATGGATTAGCATTCTTCTCTCATCATGCATATGTGTGTTATATATGTACCATGAGCAAACTATATCTTCATTGTGTTTAATCACTAAGATTTCAGGATAAGCTAGTTAACACAGCAAAACCAATTATAACCTAATACATGAATCTGTACTTATGATGTTTTTTAAAAATTCAAAGGATTATAGTATGTGTATTGATCTGCAGCTTATTTTTTCACTTAACATTTCTAGACATCAGTCCTTGTCAGTACATATCAACTATCCTGATGTTATAAAATCATACTCTCAGAACCATATTTTGACATGTTAATAACCATCCACTTAACATAGAGTCAGACTAAATTTGTGTGTAAGGTAAATATTTAATATGTACATGTCTGTAAGTATGCATCTGTAAGCATTTGCCATTTAGTCATTTGTAAATGCATTTACAATAATTATATATAATTTTGTATGTAAAGTAGTATAACATGACAGGTTCTGAGAGACTTGAAGAGCATTCTCATGAAGAAAAAAAGTTGAAAAACATTTTCACAAGATTAAAAAAAAATTAAGAATGCAGCACAAAGTATGCCAAAAGGAAAAAAAAAAACCAGCCACTTGTCTTTTAGGAAATGTCATAGAAAAGCATCAATTTGTTTCTAGAGGACAAAATTTAGTATACCTAAATCATAAAAGTCAGGGGGCATAATAAAAGATGAAAACATAAATATGACAACTACAAAAATGACTGAAAGTATAGCTCATTTTAGTTTTCAAGAGATGATCAAACAATATTTTTACATTTTTAATGAAAATGTTAAGAGGTCAGAGTTCAATTAACCTAGCGATTTTATTCTTGAAGCAGACTCACAGGATAGGAAAGTTACATCAAGCTTTTATTTCCATTTCTGATCTGTGAGGTTAGGGAAAGCTTCATCTCTTATGAAACATTGCATATATATACTTTTTGTTGTTGTTGTTGTTGTTATTTAGCATCTTTGCTTTTTCAGCTCCCCTTCATTACGTTGTGAATGGTTGGAGCTCAATGTAAGATAAGACTAGCTCACAGAATCATTCCTGTGTGGATATTGTGTTTTGGTTGCTCAACCTCATGGTCCTTTCCTAACAGTACCCTGATTTCCTTTTGGGGAACCCCATTTTATGCTGTCTTAGCAGGAGAGAAAATCCAAGTTGTGCATGGCAGCAAAGGGGAGCCGGGAAGCATCTCTGGCAGTTCCTTTCTTTCCCAATTCTGAAGTAAGAAAAAGTGAGAAAGAAGAGAAAGTGGAAGTAATGATTAAGCAGATGTACAAAGACTGACCCTTACTGATGTGCACCAATGAAAGGGGGACAAAGCAGGCTTCGACCTCCTCTTCTTTTTCTTTCCTCTCTTCTCATTTTTTTTCCTATTTTCATTTTTCTTTCTCCTCATAAGCTTTCTTCTCACTTTTTACACTCTCCCATCACATTTCATCTTCGTCTTTCTTTTTCTTCCAATCCTGTACTTTCTTTGGTACCCAGGGGATATATCTCAGGAAATTTGTTACCCTATGTCTCTTTGCTGTCTAGTTATCTGACAATGTTTCCTTCTCTAATAAAGTTTTCTCTTTCTCTATGTTCCCTCTCATATGTTATCCCTTCATTATATTAAGATACTCAAAGAAAGGAAAATGCCTTGGCCGTCTTTTTGACCAACCAAGCTGGATGTAATTCCATTGTTTGCTGAGAAAAGAAGTGCATGTGACTCACAGGGTTTATCTTTGTCTGGACACTCTGCTCATCACGGGTTATGTTGTTTGACTGTGAAAGATGTATACTATGCCCAAATTACGTCATCTGCCCAAAGATTTACAACAAAAGCTGGTCCTTGTTCCTCCAACTTCTGCACATACCGATTGCTTTGCTTAGTTCTCTGCATCTAATTTTTATATTTTTAAATCCTCTCTGCTGAATTTTAGCTGGAGCAGCATAACCCACCACAATTTAAATGGTTTTGTCAATTATGCACAAAAGGCCAAACAGCTTCAAGCACCTTACAGCTCCCTCAACTGCGACCTCTATTCCTGTCTCTTATTCTTTCCCTACCACTGCCCTTCTCCCCAGTACACTCTTCTTTTATATTTTATAGTAACAGTACTGTTAGAAAAATAACACATAAAGGCAAATTCTACTGGAAACTGTAAACCACTGGCTGGTCATCAGACCAGTATCACTGGTATTATACAGACATCTATTATTTTTCAGCAGAGAAAAAGATGTTGTCAGAAATTCTTATTCTGTGTACTCTATAAAGACAATGAGGTTATACAAATGCATAGACTCAAGAAATATGATCAACGCCCTTGTGGTTTGTGTGATCGGTTTCTGTGATGAATGGCAAGCCACTAAGAAGGATCAGTTAAAGTGGAGGGAGGAAACCTCAGGGTTATATTAGATGGTGCTTTTTAAAGTCAGCTTTGAGTATTTCCTTGTGCATTTCATCATGAATCTGATTATTAGCACTGCTCATGAGGATATAGTGTGGCTATCTCAGAGAAATATTGGGGCACATTATTATGTGATTGAAATAAATGGGAAGAAGGAAAACTATACTCAAAATATCATTCTTTTTATACCAGAAAGAAGTTCAAGATGACCCGGTCCAACTCCCTTATTCTTCAACATAGAAGCTGAGGCTTAGAGAAATTAAAAGGCTTGCTCATGTCACATAGGTATTTCTAGGCAAAATCTCATCCAGGATCAAGGTCTCTGGTCTCTAAGATTGGTGCCCTTGCCACCTCTTTGAAATTCATGACTATGTAATTTTCTCTCATGCTCATTCTCATGATAATTTTTGTGTTTCTCTGCATCACTAGGTCATTTTTGATAGTTGTAACAAATTCAACAAATATATATTCATTAACAATTTTCATTTTTTTTCTTTTTTCTTTTTTTTTCTGAGACAGAGTCTTGCTCTGTCACCTAAGCTGGAGTGCAGTGGCACGATCTTGGCTCACTGCAACCTTTGCCTCCCAGGTTCAAGTGATTCTCGTGCCTCAACCTCTCCAGTAGCTAGGATTATGGTGCCTGCCACCACACCCAGCTAATTTTTGTATTTTTAGTAGAGATGAAGTTTCACCATGTTGGCCAGGCTGGTCTCAAACTCCTGACCTCAAGTGATCCGCCTGCTTCAGCCTCCCAAAGTGCTGGGATTACAGGCATGAGCAACTGCGCCCGGCCAACACCTTTAGTTTTTAAAGCTTATATGCAAAGAATTATGCCTGTGGCTTGAATGGGAGTGGGGATAGCACAGCTATATTAGTTTCCTGTTGCTGCTATTACAAATAGTGAGAAACCAGGTGACTTAAAATAGTAAAAATAATAATAATAATAATAATTATCTTACAGTTCTGCAGGTTAGAAATCTCACAATAGTGGTAAAGAGTTTAGGGTTTCAGAGCTCACCTGGCTCAGTTTGAATGATAGTTGTGTGATTTTAGACAACTCACTTAACTATTCTGATTCAGTTTCCTTTTCTGTAAAAATATGAGTATTGATGGTACCTGCCCCTTAGGGTTGCTGTGAAAATTATAGGAGTTGATTCGCATTAAACATATAGAACAGTGCCTGGTACATTGTAAGTGTGTGCGTGTGTGAGAGAGAGAGAGAGAGATTGAGTCTTACTATTATAATATTTCTTACTCTAAAACTTGCACAACAGAATTCCTATTAGGGAGCTTACAGTTGAATTGTCAAGAAACAATATGAATCGTCTGAGTATGTGAATGGTTTCAATAAGATGAGTGGGCTTGGTGTACAAGAGAAGGCAGGACATTTTGAGAGGCGGCGGCACAAGAAAGGCTTAAATCCAAAAAGAAAGTTGAATCCAAGTATGGTTTATCCAGCAAGCATGCTGGACAAATGTTGCAAATAGACCTCAACTCGTTTGTTTGTTCACATTTGTCAAGGTCTTTCAGTAAATATTGTTAGCCCCTGATAATGAGAGTTGGGTGCAAGCTAAATGTTCCTTTCCCTGTGTGTAAACTTTTCTGCCAAGTGGTACGTTCATGAGAGCAAGGCTCAAACTTTTTTCTGCCACACTTCCAAAGGTTATTCACAAGTCTCCTCTGTAATCCAATGGCCGACTCTGCTGTCTGTTGTTTTAGGTTCTCCAACCAATGTCATATATGAAAGGGTCACTTGGACACAGATGTGACTATGATCTGAGGTGTCAGTAACTAACTGAATTGCATCAGGCAGCAGGAATATCCACAATGTGCGCCTACACAAGACTGAACGACACCACTGTGGCAGCATCTTTAGGCTCCTGACTCACCAGATTCTTATGCCCCGTCTTGGTAAGGGTGACAGCTCCTCTATAGCTTTTTAAATCTAATGCATCCACTTCACCAATGTACAAATTATTTGCAATATCTGTTATGCTTATTCATGAATCCTCTGGTGTAACTTTAGATAGAGATACAGCCATGCACTGCATAAAGACATTTCAGTCATGATCATACATTTCAGTATCATGGTGGGCCCGTATGATTATAATAGATCTGAAAAATTCCTATTACCTAGTGATGTTATAGCCATCATAATGTTGTAGGACAATTACTGTATTTTTAAAATAAATGTAAGTAAACAGTGTTCATAAAGTCTACGGTAGTGTACAGTAATGTCCTAGACCTCTACATTCACTCGCCACTCACTTACTGACTCACCCAGAGCAACTTCCCGTCCTGCAAGCTGCATTCATGGTAAGTGCCTTATACAGGTCAACCATATTTTATCTTTTATATTGTATGTTTACAGTATCTGTTTTATGTTTAGATGTGTTTAGATATACACATACTTTCCATTGTGTTACAGTTGCCTGCAGTGTTCAGCAAAGTAACATGATGTACAGGTTTGTAGCCTAGGAGCAATAGCCTATATACTATATAGCCTAGGTATATAGTAGGCTATATCACTTAGGTTTGATTGAGCCACACTCAGTCATAGTGTTCATAGAGAACCAGTGTTCTCTGGTTCTTTGTGCTTGTATATTTATTCTCTCACCCTAGATCACCAATCTACTCATCATAGCCTTAAGAAAATACCTGTGTTGGTTCCTCTCAAATTTTCATCAAAAATATCTCCTCTGAGTTTTAGTCTTATATATTCATTACTTATTTTTCTCATGGCATATTCATAGTCTGATATATTCGATTATTTATTTTTCTCACAGCATACATGATATGATGTTTGCACAATGATGGAATCACCTACTGACAGAACGCAGTCCTGTCATTGAGACACGTGACTGTATTTTAATGATCTCCATCTTCTATGTAAGAGACTTTCCTCTCGATGTCTTGGTAGTGTGCTCCTGATTAAAAGAGGGAAAATGCCCTGATTGGATGAACTGAGTGTATAGGTAGGGCTTGTCAACTTTGAGGTTTACTTCGGGGCATCTGGGTAGATCATTTTTGGATGAACCCTCAATGTAAGTATCTTTAGCTTCTTTTCCCTTGACTTGGTCAGGTTCCCAGGTATATTAGGGTTCTCTAGAGGGATAGAACTAATAGGATATATACATATGTGTGTATATGTGTATATATGTATATAAATGTATATATGTATATAAATACATGTATATATGTGTATATATAAATATATATAGAGAGATATATAGGAGCTTATTAAGTATTAACTCACACAATCACAAGGTTCCACAATAGAGACTCTAGTTATTTGTGTCTTATATTTATTCTCTCATCCTAGATCACCAGTCTACTCATCACAGCCTTAATAAAATACCTGTGTTGGTTCCTCCCACATTTTCATCAAAAATCTCTGCTCTGAGTCTTAGTCTTAAATATTCGATTAGTTAATTTTCTCATGGCATATTCTATTTAATATAGTTATTTGCATATCGAATTGTATCCTCATTTTCTTCTTAGACTCTGAAGCCTGTTAAGAAGAAACTGTGTCTATCTTCCTTGCGATTGTTTACCGAGTATAGTACCTGTCACATGGCAATAATGTTAATGTTAGTTCATGTTCACACTGCTATAAAGATACCACCTGAGACTGGGTAATTTATAAACAAAAGAGGTTTAATTGACTCACAGTTCCACACCTTGTCTGCAGGCTGAGGAGCAAGGAGAGCCAGTCCGAGTCCAAAAAGTAAAGAACTTGGAGTCTGATGTTCGAGGGCAGGAAGTATTCAGCACGGAAGAAAGATGTAGGCTAACAGGCTAAGCCATTCTAGCCTTTTCACATTTTTCTGCTTGCTTTATATTCTATGGCAGCTGATTAGATGGTGCCCACCCAGACGAAGGGTGGGTCTGCTTTCCTCAGTCCACTGACTCAAATGTTAATCTCATTTGGCAACACCATCACAGACACACCCAGGATCAATACTTTGCATCCTTCAGTCCAATCAAGTTGATACTCAGTATTAACCATCACACCAGGGAAATATCTTCCCATGGAGAAGGGTCTGAATCTCTGTGATCTTGGAGCCAAGCAGGAAAAGAGGGATAGCCTCTCTGCGTTCAGCATTCAGTATGCATGTGGTCATTTGATCTACCTTTTTTTCAATACAGCATCCACTTTATCACCCAGAGAATAGACCTGTGTACTTCAGTGTGGTAGAGAAGGGAGAGTTAACCAACAGGATAAAAGAGGGGAAGGAATCTAGGAATCTAACTGCATTTCAAACAGATTTTACCCAGTACTTTTCATTTTGGTAAAAAGAACTCCTTAGACCTCCCCGCTCTCAGTTCTAGCAGTACCTGTGGATAATGCTAATTCCTGTGTCTTTTGAGAAGTCCGTGGTATGAATTGGTTTGTGCTCAGGTTTCCTTATGATTAGCTTGGAATTCAGCTTTTCTGACTCTGCTAAGCCAGGTACCACTCATTCATCTGCCTTCAAGCTTCCAAAATTTTGTTGTGTCTTTTCTCCTGCTCTCCCTATTCTTGTAGGCATATGGCTTTAGAGAATAATAAAAACTCTTTATTGTAGTCTTACTGAAGTTTTGGAAGGAAGTGAATTAGATGTGTGTTTGGTCCATCAGCTTAACCCAAACAGTCCCTATTATTCTTGAAGTTGCTTTGCTCTGGTTTCTATTTCTATTGCACCAATAAAAGTGATCTTATTTAGATCACTAGTGACCTCCAAGAATCTAATTCAACATCTGTTTTAGGTATGCACTTCATTGGGCCTCTTGACACATTTGACACTGAAATCCACACATTGAAACCACTGTCTTGGCTTCTATGATATGACTCTTTCCTGGTTTTCTTCCTACCTCTTAATTAGCCTCATTTGCTGGCTTCTCCATTTCTGAGCCACATACAATCAGTGTTCTCCAGTTCTTTGTGTATTGTATTTATTCTCTCATCCTAGATCATCAATCTACTCATCACAGCCTTAATAAAATACCTGTGTTGGTTCCTCCCACATTTTCATCAAAAATCTCTGCTCTGAGTCTTAGTCTTATATATTCAATTATTTATTTTTCTCATAGCATATTATATTTAATATAGTTATTTGCATCTAATTGTATTCTCATTTTTTTCTTAGACTCTGAAGCCTATTAAGAAGAAATTGTGTCTATCTTCCTTACCATTGTTTACCTAGTATAGTATCTATCACATGGTAGGAGTTTAATAATGTTAATGTTAGTTCATGTTCACACTGCTATAAAGATACTACCTGAGACTGGGTAATTTGTAAATAAAAGAGGTTTAACTGACTTACAGTTCTGCATGGCTGGGGAAGCCTCAGGAAACTTACAATCATCTTAGAAGGCGAAGTAGAAGCAGGCATCTTCTTCACAAGGTGGCAGGAGAGAGAGAGCATTTTAAAAACCATCAGCTCTCATGAGAACTCCCTCACTATCATGAGAACAGCATGGGGGGAACTGCCCCCACCAACCAATCACCTCCCATCAGGTCCCTTCCTTGACACCTGGGGATTACAATTCAAGATGAGATTTGGGTGGGGACACAGAGCCAAACCACATCAAATGTATACTGGATTAATGAATACACATCCACACCCATAGGAATATGACTTATATTTTGGCCCTATATTCTTCATTCTCCACCATATTATGCCCCTTTTCTAGGACTGAGTTAAGGACTTTTCAGATCATTGATGACTTGCATAGATGACTGCCCTTGTTTTATTCCCCACCCCTGATATGTGTCCTTAATAAGGCTTTAGAGAAAAGATTCATCCAGATGGTAACATACATTTAAAATCAGACAGCTGAGGAAAAAAGTCATCCATTACATTAGGGGAGTTGAGTGTTGAGTGAGAGCTTTTTCTAAAACATCCATTCAATTTGTGAAAAACTCCAAACTACCAGCACTTAATTTCTTGCCACAAATCCCAAATTAAAAAAGAACCATGGTTCTCCTTTTTTCGTGTTCTATAGTCTTCCATAAGGGAGAAAGCACATCATGAGGTTGATCAGGCACCACCTGGTTATGGGTTCTTGCCTAGTTCTGGAGTCTGCATTAACTCCTGACATCTTTATTTGTGGAAATATTACTTTGGGGAACCAAGTAGAGCAGACATTAAAACCAGGGGATTTCTGACAGCTTCCTGGCTTGAAGTTTCCTCTTTAGTTTTTCACATTGCCTAAGGAAGATAAGCTAAAGATTACTGAAAAGAAAACAAAGCTTTGCCAGGTACTGTGATATGGAAAGCCAGGGCTCACTGTTCAAAGAAGTCCACCTCCCATGCTGTTGAAACAGCCTTGCTTTATCGTGTGTTGAAATCATATTTTAGACTCTTGGCTATTCTTCCATGTCTCTTGTAGCTGAGCCTGTCTCTTATATGAGTTCAACTGGGCCTAGATTAAAAACCAATTCAGTTCAAAGAGCATTTGAATCTAGATACTAACTATTCTTCGCCAGTGAAACAATCCCATGGGAGACTTTTTTTTTTTTAAATTTAAATGATGTAAAAGTCACAATTAGCTTGATAATGATTGGTACAATTTAGTCATTAAAATAGTCTAAGCCATTTTATTCACATACATTTTGAGGAGCTACTATAAAGCAGATGCTGTTCTAGGTACTGTAGATATTGTAGGAGACAGAAAAGTTGGAGGAAGACAGAAAAGAAGCAAATATATTGACAATAATTTTGATAAAAATATAACTCAATTGTGTCAGTCATTAATAAGCTAATTGTGGTTTTTAAAACTCACTTAAAAAGAAGGCTCCCATGGGGTTGTTTCACTGACCCAAGTATAGTTCATATCGAGGTTCAAATGCTCTTTGAACTGAATTGGTTTTCTATCTAGGCCCAGTCAAACTCACACCAAGGATAGGCATAGCCACAAGAGACATGAAAGCATGGCTGAAAGTATAAATACAATTTCAAATGAAGAGTGTGATGTGATAGAAAACATCTTAGAGTAGGTGTGTATGTATAGGTTCTTTAGACCAAGGTGATCATGGAAGACCTGTTTGAGTAGGTACATCCACGTTGAAATTTGGAGAATAACAAGGAACTAGTCATTTGAAGACGTAGGAAACAGCATTCTTTGTGGGAGAAGTGAGGCCAAAAACTTAGGTCATTAGAGAGCTTGGTGTGCAGGCAGAACTATAGGACCAGTGTGGCTGAGTATAGTGTGGAAGGGGGAATAGCATTTGGTGGTAATGTTAGAAAGGTGAGTGGAGCTTGAATCATGGAGGACAAAGGGTCTCGAAGACTCTACTGGAAGTCACCAAAACATTTTGGAGAGTTCACAAAGCTAAAATAATTTTCATAATAATACTAAATATTATTTTCCCTTTTCACATTTGTTCTCTGATGAGCACACAGTAGAGTTTTTCAGAGGCTACATACAATCATTCCTAAATCACTCAAATTGCTGATGTCTCAGGGAAATCAACTCATCGTAAATTTAAGCACAGACAAGTACATATAAATGGAGATGGCCTAACTAGCCATACAAGCTGATAAAAGTTTTAGCTAAAAATTTAATGAATGAGCTAAAACAGAAGGTGGCTAATATGAGAGTATAGAATCCTTGGGAGCTGCAGACACAAGGGGACTTGACACTCACTCTCAGGCTCTTTTTTGTGGACTTTATTGGATATTCATGAGAAAGATGAGAGGCAGGTGAGAGTCCAGAGGAAACCTCCCTTGTGGTGCAAGGCATGGAGAAGGGGAATAGCAACATCCCTGGGAAAGGCATGAAGCCCCACCCAGGTCCTTCAGTTGGAGATATCAGACAAAAAATTTAAATGTAATTATTAAATTAATGGATCTAGTAGAAAAATGAATAGCATGCAATGTCAGATGATGAACTTTAGCAGAGAGATGACAATTAAAAGAAACAATCAAAATGCTAGAAGTGAAAAACAGATTAAATGCCTTTGATAAATTTATCAGTAAACTCAATACAGCTGAGGAAAGAATCCGTGCGATTGAAAATAGGCCAATAGAAATTACCCAACTTGAGATACAAATTAAAAAATGGAACTGAGTATCCTAGAGTTGTGGAACAATATCAAATGGTCAAATGGTCTAATACACCATATGACTGAAATCCTAGAAAGAGAAAAAAAACTTGAAAGAATCAATATTTGAAATATATGTCTGAGAATTTTCTAAAATTAATGATGGATGACAAACTACAGCTCTAAGAAGCTTAGAGAACAACGACGAAGATGTTAAAAACCCTAGACACGTCATATTCAAACTTCTGAAAACCAAAGATAAGGAGAAAATCTTGAATGCCATGAAAAAAAAATTGCATAAAGAGAAGCAAAAATAAAAATTATTAGCCACTTCCCCTTAAATCTCTCCAAGCTAGAGGACAAAAGTGACATCTTTAAAGTGCTGAAAGAAACAAATTATACAAAATTATTACATGTACCCTAGAAATGCATACATCTATTAGGTATTAATAAACAAATTTTAAAAACCCAACTGTACATCCAGAATACTATATCCAGCAAAAATGTCTTTCAAAAATACTTTTTCAGGCAAAAACTTGGTGAACTCATTACCCGCAGACCTGTTCTGTGGAAAAAATGTTAAAGGAAGTTCTTCAAACAGAATGTAATACCAAATTAAAGAAACTTGGACCTACATGAAGAAATGAAGAGTACTGGAAATGGCATTAATGAAGGTAAGTATAAAATTATTTTTTCTTCATTTTAAATTGCTCTAAAAGATAACTTTCTATCTAAAGTATATACTAATGTACATTTATAGCATATGTATGAGCAAAATGTATAAAACGATAGTAAAAAGAGGGGAGAGAGGAAGCAAAAGAATACTGTTTTAAAGTTTCTTGCCTGCCATGTGAAACTGTATATTTGAAGGTAAACTGATTAAAGATTATATATGTGTGTATACATACATATATACACATACACACATATATACATATATACACACATATGTATATATAAAACCCTGGAAGAGCAACCACTAAAATTTTATTTTAAAGAGATATAAAAATAATCCAGCTTTAGTTTTTAATCTGGTAAATATCAATAGATATAACCAAGCTCTTTGCTTTCCTCACTAATTTCTAAAAGTGTGACAGAGTCCTGAGGCCAAAAGTTTTAAAAGTTTTAAAGTAGCACCTTGAAGGCCCTGGTAAGGAATTTCAGTTTCATTATAAGTGCAACTGGAAGCCTTTTGAGTTTTAAGCAAGGGTATAATATACCACATTTGCATTATAAACAGATGTGGAGAATGGACTGTAGAGAGCAGGAATGGAGGGAAGACCAGTCAGGAGGCTACCATAGTCATCCTAGCCACATGTGGTTGGGGCTTGTACAAAAGTGATGGCAATGGCGATGGAGAGCAGTGGATGGATTAGGATGATTTTTACATGTTGAAGGGATTGCATTTATAAATGACTTGAGGATGATGGGAAAAGATCAGTCAAGGATAATGCCTAGACTTCTCATCAACCTTATTGATGAAATTTCATCCATTTAAAACATACACCAAGATGAGTATGGAAAGATATATATGCCTACAGAACCATACCACTGTAATACAGAAATATCTTTTTTTTTTTTTTTTTTTTTTTTTTACCAATTCTAAACAGTTCTTTGTGCTCCTTTGCAGGACCTCCTAGATTTTTTTACTTTAGCAATTGAAAAAAAATAATGGTGCACATTTCCAAGGTACATCCATTAAGGAAGGAATATAGTTAGAAGAGGGAAGTGGATGGGAATTGAGAATTCTGGCACTAGATTGATAGGCTGTTTCCAATGGTTATGCTTCATATCCTCCAAGAAGACGTCCATACCCATTGCTCCTTGCTATTCTTCAGCTGGTGGAGAGCCCAACTCTGCCCCGCGATGCCATGCTGCAGTACTATACTATACTATACTATACTATACTATACTATACTATACTATACTATACTACACTATACTATACTATAGTACAGTTACTGTGCAGCTGCACTGTAATTACCATTATATCCCCCAATACAATGAGTGCCTAAAAACAATAACTGCATATTTCTGCATAGGGTCTTGTACATATGGACATGCAATAAATGATTGCATGAATAATCATTCATGAATTATTGATGAATAAATGAATACGAACAATTCCTAATTTGCTACAGTTTGCTGTCATTAATGATGCCATTTTTCATACCTCACTGGCATACATACAAAAAAATCCACCTTCACCACTAGTTGCATGTGGGCTGTTTTATTGGTTGAGAATCATCTTCCTTGATGTGACTCTGGCTTTTCTAGACAGGAGATAGTGTCTGAAAGATGACTGGTTGGGATGAAAGGGCATTCTAGGATTAGAGTGATGATAACTGATCAGTAGAGATTCCAGCTTCTTGAGCTCTGAATGCTCACATAAGGCATCCAGACAGCCTTCAAAATATGCCCTACCCATATTTTCTGTAACATACTCAATGTTATTACAGAAATATCTCCTGTGTGAACAATGAGGAAGGCTTAACTTGTGCATCTTGAAAAAAAATCTAAGTATAATACATATACAATTAAGTACATGATAAATTTTTACACATGTATCCACCCACATGACTATCACCCAAGTCAAGATATAGAACATTGTCAGCACCCCAGAATATGAGAGTAAACTAAGAGTAAAGAGAAGAAAATTGACTGGTCAGTCTGAATTAGTGAAAATAGACTAAAATATAGAGAATCATAGCTTAAAGTATATTTTAATTTCCATCTATTAAATAAGGAATGTGATTCAAATGCCAACTTGCATGCCATAGACTTACTTTCAAGTAAGTCTAACATTACTTGAAAGTAGATTGATTAATTAAAGATGTAACCCTAGGGCAACCACTAAAGATTCTTTTAAAGAGGTATAAAATTTAGGTAATACGTGAGTACCTACATTTATTCATCACATTTCTTGTTCTTTTACATGAAGATGTATTCAAAACTTTTAAAATATTTTTAACATTCTCCTCTAAACTCATTGTATTTATACTTTCATTTGCTTCACAACTAGTTTTATCAAAGAGAGCAGAAAGAAAAAAATTCAGCATAAATACAAAGAAAAAGAAAAAATTCAGCACAGGCTCAGTTGAATAATTGAAATGTCCAAATTAGTGGGATCTGAGCTAAAATGGTTGTACAAGTATTAATAAAGAGTTACGTTCTGCATTTCTTGTCCTGGTCAGCTGCATTACAGGTAATTAGTGATGGTGCTCTGGGGTGAGAAGACCACACTGCCTCTTTGAGTACCTTATGGATTCACTCACCGATCTGCAATATGTCAACACTCAGAGAATGAAAACAAGGGATATGAAAATAATGTCTGCCTGCATAATATCTAAAGTCAGATTTACTGGAACAGTTTTAAAGGAATAATGCATTTATCCAGGAGAATACTGTAGAAGAGACTGACAGGCATTGCATGACTAATGTTCTTCCAATAATAACAATAACTTGCATTTATAAGCCGCTTTTAACTTTTCACTGGCTTTTACATATCTCATTTAAGAGCATTTTCAGTGTCTCCTAAAGCACACATAAATGCTGGATTTCAAACATAGATGAAACTTGCAACTGAGTTTGAAGTAGTCATAAGTTGCTGTGGATGTACCCACAAGAACATGTCCTCTGTAACAAGAACAGTGTGTGTCTTTAAACCTCTAGTGTTAAGAGGCTGACAGTTGATAGATTACTATAAGCGCCAAGCTCTTTTCCAAGTCCCTCCCAGGAAAACATCTGCACTTTTTTCAGATATGGAATATTCAGGATTGTTTTTAATTTGCAGCCAAGAACTTTGTCTTCTCAGCTGATTCCTTTTCTTGTTTTTACCTGTATCCCCTTAAGCTGGGATTCTAAGGAGAGTGATTAAAATCAAACAGATACCTTCTTCTGTGGCCAGGGAGAGAACATTCTTTAAGGCAGGAGGAATTGCTGGTAGAAGAAACGGCAGATTTTAAGGAAAATCTTCCAAAATGACATTAAACTAGACATTTCTTGGGGAGTGGGTATTGCTTGAGGGCATTATAAAGTCGGGGACAGACTTTATAATGTGTGTCCATTATTGTGGTTCCAAAGATATTGGTAAAGGAGGAAAACAGTTAGAAACCTGCTGAGATCTATTCAGTGCTGTTCATAGTGAATAATCTGAGAACACAAAGGCTGCCACTGACTGTATGTGCAGTTACTGTGGTAGAGCTTCAGAACATGAGTCTGGTTTAGGACTGGATTATGTTTGATTCCTAACTTCATGACCTAGGGTGACTTACTAAACCTCTCTAGGGCCTCAGGGTTTTCCCTGTACAATGGGAATATGCAGGAAAACTCAGCACAGAGAAGTTGAATTATCCACCCAAGATCACACAGTCAACAAGCTGCAATGTTTGTGTCTGAACCACGGCAAATGACTCCAGAGCCCTAACTTTTACCATCAATGGCTTGATCAAGGCCAACATTAAGCCAAAGTATTATTTGCTTTTAATACAGGGTCCATATGTTCCAAGTTGCCTGAGACAGTCCAGTATATGCCTGGTATAGCTATTAAAAGCACTCCCTTTCACTTTCCAAATTGTCCTGGCTTTGTTTGGACCATAAATGCTATGGTCTTCCTCATCCTTGGTTAGTCTTTATTCTCGTCTCTCATTGGGCCTTACACCTCCATTTATGACTTTTCTCTCAGGCTCCCAGGGCCTTATGATGCCCTGAGCTGCTTCCACTCCTCTGTGTTGCCACCTTTTAAGGCCAGATGGCTACAAATGCCAGCAGAACTGCTTTAGCTCCTGCAGATGCCGTAGCTATCCCTCTTCTCACCATGATACCCCTCACTCATCTTTGGGCTTCTCTGCCCACTCTGACACTATGTCTTGATTCCCCCTATTCACATGGTGGTCCTTGCTTGGGAATGATCTCAGCATCCACTTTGGATCTGGCATTTGTTCCTCAGTTCCATGCACCCATATGCCCCTGATTCCAGAAAATTCTCTACTGTGGTTTTGAAACAGCCTGCCTTGGCTTTGTGACTATGTTTCTTTTCATAAGAGGCTGATGATTGCAAATTATGACAAATGTTCTCCAGCTGGGTGCCCTTCCCTAGAAAGAGGCTGTTTACCCTCTAGGAGGAAGGAGAACATTGAATATCTACATATTTTCTGTTGAAAGTGTCACTTGTTTAAAAATTATTCTTTTGAAAAATATTTGTTTCACATAAATGTGTGTCTATGAATAGGTTATGAAAGACTTGCCTCTGATGTTACAAACAAAAGAATGTGAGATTAAAACAATGAGCCTGTAATTTTTACCCTTTTAAAGGGGTAAAACAGTGAGTTCTTTGCTTCTGGTCAGCACCCTGTTGTGTCTCCCTGGGGACTTGGCTGCAAGGCAACAGCAGCCTCTCTACCGACCCCGCCCCTTTGCTGAGTGAACCCATTCCACATGTGCCCAGTGGCCTGAAGCTAAAGATTTGGAGGCAGGAAGCATCTTTTCTCGAGATCAGTTCCAGATCTTGATGGTCCAGCACCTTCTGCCATTTTCAACTCAAAAGACCCAAACTGAAAGTTCTATTGCAGAGCTGGGGAGATCATTTCAAGAGAAAGCATGTGCCAGATACACAGTGGCACACACAGTAAGTACCCAAATGTGTTCCTTCAACTAAAATGGAGTTTAGAGTGGG